GGGGAAACATAACAAAAACAATTGAAGAAGAGAGGACTTGTGGATAAACCCCAGCTATCCATATACCCAGCATAACTACTGCCATCTAAACAAACCTCATAACACTGAAATTCTACGGGCACACATATTTTCTGGCAGCCCTTTCCCCTTCTCTGCTATCAGTTTCTTAATGCTTTGAGCCAGCCAGAGCACAGCTGCAGTTCTTTTTAATCATGGTTGCTGCCAGCTGTCTCTCAAGACAGCCAAATGCTCAGACCTCATTCAGTTTCCCCCAACTTTTTGCTCCATTTTTGGACAGAAAATGACTAAACTGAAATTCTTCCTCAAGAGATAAATAAATTACACTCAACAGCTCTACAGAGGAAGAAAGATAAGATTACTCAGACCTAGCTATTATCTTAAATGTCCATTTCACCGTTGAACACAAAATAGAAGCTCTAAAACAATTTGAAAGGAACACCCTGGCAAATCTCGTTGTCCAATGTAATTATCTAATGAACTTGCATTTGAGAAGTTGAAACTTAACTCTAAAGATAGAGCTCCCCCACCCGCATAATCAGGATGCAGAGGCTTTGCAGACACATTCACTAAGGTACTATCTGTCTGTCAGGAACAGACCTGATGACTTGAACTATCTTCTTTTCAGGGCAACCGTTTTCTGCAAATGACTCTATTCACTCAGTAAGCTTTTCAAGCAACTAAACACAACTAGATTCTGCATATTGGGTCATGAAGTAGTTAAGCACAGTTGTATCTCTTCACCTCTGCATTGCATAAGCACAAGTTATTAAGAAGGATCGCATTTGCCATTTTGATTTGCTACCAATATGTGCATGAGCCTCAAGTGAAAAAATGAGGGCATTAAGAACTACCTAGAAACACAAAAAACTGAATAGCAGACAAGAGGCAAATGTTTCCTTACAGCACCAAGAGCAAAACTACTCCCAGACTTGGTTCAATATCAATACATAGTAACAAATGACATGATGCAGAATATCTATTTTCATAATTACTCTAAATGTTAAGAAAAAAAATGCAAGTATCACAAATACCTTACATGCAATAATTTGTCCTTTTAATCTTAAAAAAAACTCAAAGGGCACTACCGAGACAATAACCACAAAATCTGTGCTTAGCATCACAACACAGCAAAAAGAGATACTATTCCTACACTGCTCTGTATTCTGAAAAGACATTTTAAGCCATTCTATTTTCTATTTCTTACAGCAAGCAAAATATATTTTCAAGAAATAAACTCATGGGCTTTAAAACAAATCGGACTTAATCCCTACCCAATTAAAATACTTCTTGGTTAAAAGCATCATTAAATACCTAATACTTTAACTTAATATTACTTATTTACATTAATTCTATTTAACAGTCCACAAACAGGAACACGAGGTGTGCAAAGATGATGTCTATCATCCAACCACTTCAGACATCTCTTGACCCAAGTGCCTTCTCTGATGAACAGCAACAACATCTTGGACTAGACCCTCCAAAGGCTTGAGTTAGAGCTGAGCACTGTGGCACAGAAACGAAAGACAGCAGGTGATCACAACATCCAGAGTCAATGCACAAACTCACACACAAGAATGCCACAAGTGCCCTAAACTGAAACTTTTTGCTAGGTATGAATTACCAGTATAATATTTTCCCAATGATGCAATCTGTTTTCTTGCTACCAAGTCCTCCTACCTTAACAAAAGTGACCTGACAGTAACTATTAATACCGAATACTCTTGCTATTTCTAATGTACCTGAACTCTTACTATTTGTAAATTACCTGGTGCGTACAGGATTACTCATGAACATTCTTCCGACAGTATTAAGTCTTGATCAAGCAACATTACGGTAAGATTATGAAAAGCCTTCCACATTAAGAGCTTCTCAAAGCCTTTAAAATGTGATTGTTACAAGCACTAGCTGAAGGCTATTAAAAAAAAAAGAGACCAATAAGTCATTTTAAATACAAGATAAGAGATCCTCAGCTGTGTTACATGGTTGCACAACTATTAAAACAATCCAAAAAATGGACTGCTTTTTAATACCAAACATAAGTTAAAATTAACTGACATTGCATCACCTTCATTTTAATGTCCAAAGAAATGGACATGGAGACAGGATAATACCTTTGGAGCAGAATTAGCAGGCTAAACTGTAACTCTCAGCTTGCCCATTGCCATGTTATTAAGGCACAGTTTTCACCTTATTCTAATTCTTAACCTTATTTCAGCTAGGTTAAGAATTAAGATACAATGACGGCACATGCTATCAGGAAGTCTTGAAACCTTAACTCAGGCACTGTCTAGTCAGCATCAGGACAAGGACTAGCAAATTGCACTTAAAACAAGTTAACAAGGACTTTCATGAACATCAGTGCCAACATAGCCTAGTTTCCTATACCTAGAGATACAGCGTTGTATGTGGGTTAAGGTTGAGCTCACATTGCAGTGTCTCTCACACTAGGAATATTAATAGTTATATCTGCTTGCCCTTTTTTTTTTTTTCTTTCTTTCCTCTTCAGAAATAGTAGCGCTTGCTGTCTCAAGGATCTATAAGCCCTCTGAACAGATCAGGTTGAACCTGGTGGAGTTCAAGAGTCACCAGGAAGGGGAAAATGATTATGGGGAGTGTGAGAAGACATAAGCAGAAGTACATACACTATACCTTAGGAGACCGCACAACAAGAAACAACAAGGCCTTTTTCTCCAAGTTCCCTCTTCTCCCATGCCCCTACCCCTAAATCAATAAAATTAACTCTCTCCAGTTCTGAAAGATAGCCTCATATCATCAAACTGCACTTAATAGTCAATATAACAAAGAAGCCTTTGAAGTACCTACATTTACACTGGCTAACTATACCACTATCTCTAATTGCTCAATGTTCCGAGTGACGTACTCAGAGACAATTTTTATTTATTTTGGGTAGGTCTACATGCAAGCATAATAGCTGTTTAAACCATCCACGTTTCATTTACACTAACTGTCCAAAATAAACACGATCACCAAAACTAGAGTCTTTGTTTCCTTACCCTTATTTAAAGGCCCTCCTTGGATGTTTTGCAAAGATTCATTCTCAGTTTAATTTAATTTCTGAAGAAAGCTATGAAATGGGTTTTTATCTCCATTTGACTGGGTGTAAACAGAATGTAATAGATTCTGAATGAACAGTATCATTAGATCAAGATCCACCTTGCCCTTCACTACAACTGGGTGAATTGCAGTCAGTAACAAATACTTCTTGAAAGCATGAAAGAACAGAATTCCTTCAGTAAACTGTTTAAGTAATCTCCCCTCCCCTGCATCCAGACCACCACCACACTCAACGGCCACTGAGGACTTATCCACCAAGATTCATCAGCTTCCTTTTTAGAGCTGTATATATATATTTATGGTTCATATAGTAAAGTATATAAAACTCCTAACAAGGAGTTCTAGAATTTAAACATCAAATTAAAAAGTTTTTCTGCACTAAAATTGTATTTCACTATTTTACACAATACTGGAACCAGAAAGCACCAATGAAACTGCTGAAGTCTCTTGGCCTTTCACACACCATGAATTTTCAGAGCTCTAGCACATTTTCTCCCTCAGTTCTGATATTTTCTTTTCCAACCTGAATAAAATACTGTTCTAACAAAGCTTTTCTACATGGAAACCATTTAACTGTAAAACCTGCTCTGCTACAATTTCTCATTAACAACCAAGGAAACTCATTACTATTTCTTCTTGTAAATACTGGGGGATGAATCTATTCAATCTCTCAGGAAAGCTATATTCAAACAGCATTTCCGGACTGAAGGTGGATCATACTTACAGGTAAATAAACTGCAGAAAACCGTATGAAAACAAGACATATTTCAGCAGCAAAAATAAGAGTAAGATCAACAGACAACTACACATCCCACCAATGCGTCTATTAAACTACAGTTCAATGTAGTTTGTACAGTTCAATCAACATTTCTTGGTTTCTTCTGTATTATATCACTAATAAAATTATCTTGCAAATAATTGAGCTATGCATATTTTCCACTACTCTGCATTTTTTTGACCGCTGTATTGCAACTGAATAAGTCCGCTCACATTTCTGATCCTAGGGTTAACTACATCTGAGAATTCAAAGTTACATAAGTTCTTCCCATTGAAGTTGATTACGATAACCCAGAGCAAGTCAGTAGGTGTCATCTTCATCAACGTTCATCTAATGTGATCTTCTGCCCAATTTTAGAAGCTACGGTTTAATCAGCCCATTATGTGAAAATTTCTAATGAGATATAATAGCATCTGATCTTGTCTAAGAATGACTTGAACAAAATTACAGAGATGTTCAGCTCCATGGGGTTTGTGAATTCCCTCTCAAAAGCATTAAAGTATCTCACAAACACTTCAGAGCCTGAAAACAGCCCCTAAAAGAAGTTTGACAGAATTTCGTTTCATAGGTCTTAAGCTTTTTATGTATGCATTGATAAAGACGTGCTAATTAAAAAAACAACTTTGTGCAACTAAAGTTCAGAAAACTACTTTTTCCATCCAAATAATTAAATATGGCAGGTTGCAAGCTGTATCTGCACCTGCATGGAAATAACCATGTACCTGCACTAAATTAAACCCAGCAGCTTAAGAATAAAGCATTCTATTATTACCAACTCATGACTCTTCAAAATACATGTTAAAAAAGACGCACAAATGCACTGAGCTCAGAACAGATTTTAGAAAAGGAAGATTCCATTCTATTCAAGGTGGACTAACATGCTACATTGAATCTAAAGCACTGTATCTCAATTTGCTGAGGTAAGGATTAGAGTGCCAAGGATCTCAGACCAATGTGTAAAACACAGAATGCCTCCTGGTGTTTTTAGTTCAATAGCATATCCTTTACAATTAAGAATTAATTGCCCTATGGTTTTATTAGAATATTTAACCAACCCCTGAAAACACAAAGTCTAAATGCAGATTAGTAAAAATCAAAGGATACCCGGACAATTGAATAAACATACCTGCAGTCACAAGTTTAGTACTGCTGCCTTTGCATTCTCCATCTTCCACGTTTTTGCTTGTGCTCCTTTCTTTTAGGAGAGGAACAGTATTGTCAAAAGATATGCACTTGCCGGATGCAACGTTTTCTCCACTGTCTGGCTGATTAATTCTGCTGTTAGCTTCAAGTAGAGGAGTGAAATCCTCAGACTGAGCAGTTTCACCGGGTTCCAACTGAGAGGAGGTTTTAGCCTGTGACACATTCTTTGAAGACACAGGAAGAGATTCTTCATCACTGTCAAATCCAAATGGATCCTCTGTTACCTCATCTTCAACTTTGGGTTTTTTAGGAACTTCGGAAATATCTGGTTTGACACTGGGCCTCTTCTGTCCTAATTTGGCCATGAAGGTGGTTTCTCCCCATTTTGTACTGAGGGTGGTCCGTTTGTTGGAAAATACTTCATCAAACTTGGAACTGCCGTTTCCCCCTTTCCGGCTGTAGGTCTTTCCAAATCGGGATGTCATTTTGGCTCCTGTTTCATATTCTCTGTTGGAGAAGAAAGAAGAAACAAATTCACTAACTTTTTAGTAGAAATTTTTGTACTTCCATCCTTTATTTGGCCTACTAGCACCAGGCATGTACATTTCACACAAGCAACAGATACATCATCTGGGCCTTTCTACAGACTAACTCCATTACATATGAATGTCATTATGTCAAAAGTTTCTGCAATAAGTAATGTATCTAGCAACTTAACTCGAAATTCAGTTACTTGCACATTTATAAAACAATAGCACAATGGATCCTTAAGAAAAATCTGCTATGAATACATTACTTTTGGTATTGCTTTGCTCTAATTTTATATTTTCAAGTATAGATGGCACTGCTTTCATGAAACATCAGCAGAAAACTAAACAATATTTTCACCACATCTGAACACGCAGCGCTCTGCTACAGTCCAATAACACAGTATGGCTTTAGAAAGACTCTTTGTAGTTAAGGAAAAAAAAAAAGTCAATATTTCAAGTTGCTGTAGATATTTTAAATACTAATTAATCACAAATAACGATGACAACTTCACCCCATGTTCTTCTTGCACACTCAGACTTACTTAGCAAGCGTATTATTTGGTAATACAATGTGGTTTATGCCATCTGCACAGCCACAGTCAAGACTGATACATAGCATTATCCCATGAATAAATCTGATTGATCAAGGGACAGGAACAAAGAGACATTTCTCAATCCATTTCTAAGAAGATGGAGGACACCTTATGCAGACCAGCATAAACCATGACTGTTTATTGGCTGTTAGAACTGCAGCCAGATTCATAGTTTGCTCTCTCAAAAGAATAAAGCTCAAATACAAACAGATTAAATAGGAACACATTTAAACAGTTCCCTGCATGTATTCTATTCCTACTTTTGTTTAACTCAAGAAGGAAGACAGATCACTTTGTTTCTTTTTCCCAAAACAAATACTTCAACTACTGGACAAATTACAACATAAAACCAAAACAATCATATCTGTTTTGTAAACCAGCATTTTTTTAATTTTTTTTTTTTTCCAAACATGAATAGGAAATTGGAATTCTTTATAGTCAGTCTGAATCTAATCAAGTCCATCTTTCTCCCTGAAATTACTTTTCATACTGGAGAAAAGTCTGTTAAAAGAAGGGGGGCCTTTATTTAAGCTACAGAATCGAAGTCGTCCAACTCTTAAAGTGTCAACTGCCTTCATATATAGTAAAGTATATAAAAAATTAGCACTTAAAAAAATTGTTAATAAACTTATCACATGATTCCTTTGTTCGAGACAACTTTATTATCATTCCCCTGAATATGTGGCACACTGTCTTTCTTCCATATTTTAGGTTTCATCTTGACATTCACAGTTTCTCAACCTGAAGCGCTAGGCTAGCTTCTGCCAAAATTGCCAGACTGGTTTCCATAAATGTCATTCTATCACTTTGCTCTAGCACGATTGTCTCACTAATAATAATAGTCTCCCTTTATCGAAACAGGCCAACCTTCACTTATCATATGAAACGAGTAATTCCTCATAACATGCACATTTGAGCAAAATTTAAGTGAATTAAAAGTATCAAATTTGAATTTCAGAAGTTTACCAGCCAGCATTACAATGCAGAAGAGATACAGGAACAACCACTTTGGGAAACGCTCTTCTCCCCAGCAGTTAAGCACATGCTTTTACCGTCTATCTGCTAATCTACCAACCAGAATTCTGCTGCGAAACACCATTCTGCAAACTGCTTCTGCTTGCTTCTAGTAGATGTTACTCTTTAACATCATCTCCATCCTCTTTTTCCCCTCACAGTGTCATCAGCCTACTCTGTGCTGCTCAATGAAACACATCGTTGCCAAACTTTTTTTTTCTCCCCTGTAAGTAGCTCCAATTTCCTATTTTCCATCCAAGAACAAAACTAAAACTTCCCCACATAGTTTAGATTTGTTTTGCTGTTCCATTTTCTAAAGTAGTAGTTTTATTTTGCTGATGCTTGAAAATATTTGTAACAGTAACCAAAATATTTTATATCAGAAAAGCCAGTTTTTAGAGCTATAGAAACTAAAGTGAAATATTTATTCTCAGTTTCTATGCAACTCTTACAAGGGAGAAAGAAAGGAAAAAAAAAAAAAAATCACTCACCACCAGCACATTTTTCTCCCCTAAACCCTGACTCAAATAAGTATTTCCAACACTACATTTCCAGCATCTGCAAAAATAACAGCAGATTTAAATTATGACTTGTGGCTTGCAGTTTTAAAGAGAAGATTCCTGTAGTCAAGAGAACTTTATTTTCAGAAAGTAGAGCTCCTCAATCTACATTTTCCTATTTATAAGTTTAAAAATTGAGATCATCTCATATGGAGTTTTGAATCAAAATGTCAAAAATCAAATAAATATTCAATATGATATAAACAAGCTAAAAGAAGTGTTTTGGGAAAATATTAATATAGTACGCTATAAACTCGTTATCTTAGACTGAGATTAAAGGTAAGGAAATACGTATGTACCTCCTTACATGAGAACATCAACAGAACAAGACTTGTACTCTTCACTTACAATGCTCCCTTGCTTTTTTCACTCAGTGTGAAAGAAAAACCTTGGCCAATTTCACTCTGTTTCCACTCCCTGCCTCTCTCTCCTGAGCTGTGCTGCAATCTTTGGAGCAGCACAAGGAATGTAAATGTAAGCAAAAAAAGGAAACATAATTCTCCCGCATTGCCTACAGCTAACTCGGCAGACGGCCTAGACGTAAAAACCCCGATAATTCCCCAGAAAGCCCATCAGCCATCCCCACTCGTCGCTCCTCTCTACACCGTTCCTCTTACATAATCAAAGGAAAGAAAAATAGGTTAAATGCACGGAGGCAGAAAGAGCTGATGAAATCCCACGGTGACAGTTTCTTTTTTTCCTCCCTCCCCCTGCGGCGGGGGGGCAAGGGGGTGCTGGCGGAACCGGGTCACCCCACCGTGCACGCCTGGCGATTTCTGATGTCATTTCCCTTCCTCCCCGGCCCCCTCCCCCCGCCCCACAGGAAAACCAACCCCCATCACAGCAGTCCCCGGGCCGGGGGGCAG